TTCGTTAGGAATCGATTCCATAGCCCTCTCCGAGCTATCTTAAGAACTCAGTAGCAACCATCTGCTATTCCGCATTTTTATTCGTAAGGCTTGCCGACCTGACGAAACCCTAGTAAATTCCTTTGAGGAAATAAAAATCCAAATTTTCATGTATGAATCAATTGAGATCGTAGATTGAGAGGTTAATCATGCGTAACAAAGCCACATCCTGACAGTGAGGGTTCGCTAGAATGTTAAGCGGAGACCTGAATGCAGTAAATTCATCTCCATATATCTTTTCACTTCGTGATCTGTGTTCGAATCTTTGAATTTTGGGACGAAATTCCCTCTAACGGGGGGATAATGTAACAACCCGAAATTCATATCCTTAATTGTAACCCTTTTCGCGACTCGTTCCGATCATCCAATCGCCGTTTCCGATTTTGTTTCCGTTTCCGACCTTTTATTAAGTCGTTAATGTGAATTTTATTTTATGACTTAATAAGTGTCTTAATACCCTTAGAACTCATTCTAACGTCTCATATTAATGATCGGAACATTTTTAGAACCAACCATATCGGGTTACGGCAAATTGGCCGGGTGCGACCAAAAGCCCCGTCTAACTCCGGTATCGGGTAGAATTATACCATGTCCCAAACTTAGACACTATTTAAAGTGACCCAAGTCTCCATTTTGAAGATTTTGCTCCATTTTACAACTATCACTCCAACCTCTCTCCTCAAACTAGATTTAAGGGTCAAAATCTCAAGTTTAAGGCTTCAAATCACCAAGGTAACTTCGCTAATTTGTTATGCAACATCTTTAGCCCTCAAATTCGAATTCAAACCATGAGATAGGACCATTATCATGAGTTTACACCCTAGAATAGTCCTAGGCCGTAAACTCATATAAAAGGGGTTTTTGGAGCAACAAAACCCTTCCAAACCTCAATTGGACCTTGTATATGGCTAAAGGACTTTATGAAATAGAATTAGAATGTCTTAAACCAAGATTTGAAGCCTTGTATATGAGTTTATGGCCTTGGAAGGTGCCTAGGCCGTAAACACATATTTAAAGGGTTTTTAAGCCATTTAACCCTTCCAAAACACAAACAAGACTTAGATATGATTTTTAGAATATTGGAATTGGACTTAGAACACTTCAAACATAAATTTTGAGAGGTTTATATGAGTTTATGGCCAAGGCATGTGCTTGGGTCGTAAACTCCTCAAAAATGGGTATAAATTCATTTCTAAGGTGTTAGAAAGCCATCCAACACCACCAAAAGCCTTGGAATAAATCATAGAACCAACCAAAAATAGTTTAAGGGCTTTAAACACATCAAAATCCCACATTTGAGAGTTTACGGCCATAGAACATGCCCCATGGCCGTAAACTCCTAAATGGATGTCAAATGGTGCCCAAAATTGATTTCTAGGTTTGTTAGAATTCTTAGAATGACATGTGATTAATTTTGGGACCTTAACAACACTTATTCTAAGAGATATGAGAGTTTACGGCCATAGAACCCATGCCTAGGCCATAAACTCCCTTAAGTGTTGTATTTGATGATTTTAATTCAATCCAAGCCTTAGTTAAAATTATTCCAAGCATTTCCAAGTGTCCATATCCATTTGTGAGCCATTAAACACCATAAACCACCCCTCTATGAGTTTACGGCCGTAAACTCATGGGGAATGGGTGTTTAGGCCGTAAAATCATTAGGAGTTTACTTTTGGGGAGTAAACTCAAATCCCAAGTCCCACACTTCAATTCCCGTCCGTAGATGTCACCCGGGTCACTCCAAACACCCGTTTTGAGGTGTTTTCGTTCGTTGGAGTGTAACTTCATATCTAATTAGAGTTTGTAAATCTAATTAGATATATTTGTATACCATTTCATTTTACATAGGAACCTCACGTGTTATCAGGCCTCGATTCGACGTTTAGCATCCGAAATCGACTCATATCCGCGTCCGGTGAGTTCATACCCCTACCTTTTTTCAATGGTTTTTCAATGTTTTCAGCGGGGAATACAAGCAAAAATACAAGAATATCTTGTACTAAATCACATGATTTTAGTTAAATGGTTTCATAATTGTACATTTTAAGAATTGAAAACCTTTTTAACAAACTGTTTTAACTTACAGAGTTGTTTGTTTTAACCTGATTTTCAATTCTTATTATACACTGTTATATTGTGTATTTTGCATTTGATTGTTCACCCTTAAACTGATAGAATACATAAACCCTTGTAATGTCTATAATAAAACACTAAGGTTCGAGTGTAAAAGACAGACTCCATTAGAAAACATAAAACATCTATATGTCCTTAACAATACACCTAGGCTCGAGTGTGATAGATAAATACCATCATAACACACAAATCACTGTAATGTCCTTAATAATACACCTAGGATCGAGTGTAAAGGACCATAATCATTAAATAACACCTAGGTTCTAGTGTAATGTCCTTAATAATACACCTAGGGTCGAGTGTAAAAGGACAACCATCATTAAATAACACCTAGGCTCGAGTGTAATGTCCTTAATAAAACACCTAGGCTCGAGTGTAAAGGACAGGTACGTAGAATATAGTCAGTCGTAAATACTACTTTCCTAGTCGAAAAGTAAAGAGTAATCTTAATGATTGGAGATACGTCCTTGTAACACTTCCATGGCACGAGATAGTGGAGGACTAACCCTGTAACCAGAATCTCCGTTCGTAGGAGAGCGTGGCTTGAGTGTATAGATCTACACGGGACTGACTATCCCACACCTGGCTGCTAGCTACAGCCGAACCGAATGGTTCAAGGGTGACAAAAGTCATAAAAAGGATACTGGCCATGGTCCGAGTCATATCCAGTCTAAGTATGGTTAAGGACTCGCAATCTAGATTATTACGTTTCAGACTCATTTACTAGCTTTATGTACGTAGTAAAGCTAATGTACGTCTAGGGATGACAGACACATACACACATTCAGGGAAACATGGGGTTTTCCTGGGGAGAACACTGAACATAACCAGAACCAGTAAAGACACACACACACAGTCAGGGAAACATGGGGTTTTCCTGGGGAGAACACTGAACATAACCAGAACCAGTAAAGACACATACACACATTCAGGGAAACATGGGGTTTTCCTGGGGAGAACACTGAACATAACCAGAACCAGTAAAGACACACACACACAGTCAGGGAAACATGGGGTTTTCCTGGGGAGAACACTAAACATAACCAGAACCAGTAAAGACACACACACAGTCAGGGAAACATGGGGTTTTCCTGGGAAGGACACCGAACATAATCAGAACTAGTAACAGTTCACATGCACACAGTCAGGAGAACATGGGGTTCTTCCTGAGTAATAGTAGAACGCAATTAGAGAAGTGTAATAAGTTAAACAATTGAACTACATTTCACAAGAACAATCATGTTTTAATTAAACATCGTTTACTTTACTTTCGGATTTGGAAACTAACTTTACATAAGAAAATATGGGATTTTCTTGGATAACCGCTTTTCAGGAAACCAAAGGAACTCATACATTTTCAGAAAAACTAACCGCTTATGAACTCACCAGCTTTATGCTGATTTTCAAATCGCTTGTATTCTCAGGTCCATGTTAGACAGGTACACGAAGATCCTTTTGTGTGAAGACGGAGTTCTCAGAAGACTCATTTCGTATTGTTCATATATACTATGTATCACTTGTATAACGTATGCTTTTGAAACAAATGTAAAACTTTCATATATGTAATGTAATGGGTGATTTACTTTACTTACTATGTACATTGGATTTGATACTCAACGTGGAGTCAACCCCAGAAATGTTTCTGCCTTTGGTTTTTGGGGTGTGACAATATCATTATTGAAGTTCTAAAAGTATTAATGTTCCACATTCCAAATAACTCACTAACTATAAAACACATAATACAATTTAAAACAATGACGTATGCCTTCAGGTTCTGTATTAACTTATCATTATTAAAATTTTGACAGAATTAATGTTCTACATTCTTATCAAATTCATGGCTAACCTCCTCATCCCCATACTCCCTCATCAACTCGTCCAACATTTCATCTTCATCAACCATGCCATCATCATCATCAATATCTTCAAAGTTTTCTGGTAGCTGCCTACCAAACCCACCAACACTAATCTCAAACTTCTCTATTTTTTCAAGTAGAGCACCCGTGACATTTCTAACAAACGGTAACCTTTTAACTATCCTTAAAACTGAGAACGTCATGCAATATACATACACCTGGGGATGAGAATTTGGCCCGAAAACCCGAACCAAACCGAACCGAACCGAATTAGACCCGAATAAGCAATTCGATTCGGTTTTCAGGTATCTATATAATGATTATTCGGTTTTTGGGTTATTCGGTCCGAGTTACTTGAATAAGGGCTTATTCGGTCCAAATGGACCGAACCGAATATGAAAAGTCACATTTTTTCCACTTGCACAATTGCTTATTCGGTCTTGTGTTCTATCAATCGTTACCCAAAATACCCACATAATGTTTAATGTTTAACTTATATAATAGATAGTTTTTTAGGTGTTTTGGATGTTTAATGTTTAGTGTTTAATATGTTTCTTAATAACTATATCTTTAGATTGTGGTGGTTGGATTTTACATTTTATATATCAAGAATAGTTAATCCGTGTTCTCTATGTTATTCGTGTTTATCATAAGCTACAAAAGTCATAAAAAAATACAATATTTATAATCACATTGTAAATGTTATTTGGGTTATTCGGCTCCATAATCATCTTGTACATGTTATTTGGGTTATCCTGGCCGGAACCGAATAATACCCGAACTGAACCGAACCTGTATTGCTTATTTGATTCGGTTTTCGGTTAATACAATTACCCTTATTCGATTTTCGGTTTATTCGGGTTCGGGTTGGTTCGGTTCGGTTTCGACCCGAATAACATCCCTACATACACCAACTACATAAAAAAATACATTAATTTCTTCATTATACATATTACATTGTAAAGTAAATTAAATATCTAATCGAGACAAGAATCTTACCGTCAAAACGAGTATAGGTCCACTATAATAGCATGTCTTATCATCCCTTCTCCACAGTTGTTTTTTGCTGACCAAACAATCTAGAATATACTTGCACCAATCAATTTTAGATAAGTCTTTTACCAAGACCAACTTATTCACAACATTTATTTGATTGGTACCACTCAAAGTTGATTCAACAAATGAGTTAATGAAAAGGGTCATGAAATTCAGCCTAAACATAAGACTGTCTTGCTTTGTGTTTTTGATCCTTTTCAAGTATTCTTCACCATTGAACCCTTTTTTTTTATCATATTGACTTTTCCATTCTTTCAGAACTTCTTTATCTTTCTCATAACTAACCATGCTCAATAAGTCTTCACCTACATTTGGTGAACCCAACATGTCATGAACCGTGTCTTTCGTAATTGTTATGACCAGATTCTCCAAAACTAAACGACTACTATCTGGATCATAGTGATCTAACAAATAGTATTTAAGTAACCCCGGACTAGTGTCCATGTCAATATTCAGAAGTGAGCCAAAACCCATAGACACAATCCCATTTTTCTATGCAGGTGACAGTAGTTTCATAGGTGCACTAATCCTTCCAGGAGTCATCCTAGTTGCAAGTCTTCTATAACATTCTGGATGGTCCTTGCTTACTTTTCTAACCTTCCCCTCCATTGTTTTGATTTTAACATTTTCATGTTCTACTTTTCCATTCTCTCTTTTTGGAGATTTCTTTGAATGTGCATCTTTTCACTACCTTTTTTTCTTTTTACAACATTTTCCTTATCTTCCATATCCACACCAATTTTGGCATTTTCATTGTCTTTCTTTGACCCACTTATACTCTCCATAACTATCTCATTTAAATTTATTGCTTTTTTCCTTTCACCACTTGCATCCGATGATTTCTTATTATCCTCAACAGGTGTATTTCTCGTAGAACCTTTCCTTTTCATCCTTCCTACACTTATGTTGTCACTTGGTATTGTGTCTACTTTTTCTTTGTTAACATCTGTTGAATCACGCAAACATCATTACTCATTGTCTACTACTACTTGAATAGAATACTAAATTTTATACTAGACATATCATAATTATATTGTATATCTAGAAACAAATGTTACTAGAACTAGAATACAATACTTTATTTGATACTAGATATCTTATAACTAGATAGTAAAAATCATTAATTACAAGCATTTATGATCTTACCTGATTTCCCAGAATCTACATTGTTCTTTCCATGTTTTGATCTTAAAGTTTTTTTCCTCTGTTTCTTTGTTTTGCTTGATCCAACAATATTCATATCAATTGGTTCACTTCTGACACCTTCTGCTTCATTAAGTAAAAAAAAATATACATATTGGCTATCAACATGTTTTAAAATTGTTGTTATTTTCTTCATGAGCCAATTTTTGTTTACTTGTAGGTTGGGTACTGATATTCTCTTTCACGGGTGTTGATCTGGTACGATAGGTCCTTCTCACATTTGTTTGGCTTGTAGTATCAACATTAATTGGCTCTGGATTAGGTTCTGCAACAACTAATGAAACAAATGATAAAAGTAGATTAATAATAGTTTTCAAAGTAACTAGCCATACTTCAATATGTTTGAGAATTAAAGCCAAATAGTTAATAAAAATAAACTAAATCAGAAAAAATCACAGTTATAAAAACATATACACATACTTAATAGCAATCCTCAGGAGAACCAGTCACACACCAATCTATATGACCCCTATATACACTTCTTATCTTCACATTCTTTGAGAATTTCACTTCTTATGTAACAATTCTTTCAAAATTTATCCACATTTCTTATAAATGATTCTATGAGAATTATAATAGCTTTCAAAGTAACCACCCGTACTTCAATATCTATAAGCACTATCAATACTTTTTATGTTTTCATTCTCCAAGGAATGCAACACAAATACGTATAACGTTTCTATGAGAATTAACCACTCACACTCCAATCTATATAACTACTATATACACTTCTTATGTAACAATTACTTAAGAATTAAAACACATTTCCTATCAATGATTCTATGCGAATTATAATAGCTTTCAAAGTAACCACCCATACTTCAATACCTACAAGCAATATCAATACTTTTTCTTTTCATTCTGTAAGAGTGCAACACAAATACTTATAATGTTTCTATGAGAATTAAAGCCAAATAGTTAATACAAATAAACTAAATTAGAAAAAATGACAGTTATAAAAACATATACACATACTAAATAGCAATCCCTAGAAGAACTACTCACACTCCAATCTATATGACCCCTATATAAACTTCTTATTTTCACATTCTTTGAGAATTTCACACATTCCCTTATACTGATTCTTTGAGAGTTAGATTTATACAGCTCATACAAATAAAGTAAACCGTGAAAATCATAGGAATAAAACTACAAATAAAAATATTTCATATTTAAAAAAAAAAAAAAAAACCAATCTTGACATCCAACACCTGAACGATTTATGCATGTTTTTAAAAACATAACTGAAAATACTAAAAAAAAATTCAAAAACAAGCAACACTTTCACACCCTAAAATACCACAACTAGAAGCACATACTAGAATTTTAAATATTTCGTATTCTAGAATAATCAATTTCACATGAACTTCACAACCAAACATACAATTCTTAAAGAAAATCCTCCTGTAAGAAATTTTACCACAAAAACGATAACATATTGCAAAAAAAATAATAATAAACAAAAACAACATCTTTTTACTCTAATAAAACACAAAACAAAATAAACAATCACAAACCCCTTTTTAGAAAACAACACTTGCATATCTGTAAAATCAAAAATTTTAATCGTATTGTAAATCCACAATTTCAGAAAACCCTAATAAAAAAATACTCCCATATTACAATATTTTGGTTTATTGTACTTAAACGAACTAAAAAACCACATGCATATACTTCATTGTTCAAACATTCTAAAAGAATGTTGTGTATTCAAACAATTAACTTAAAAAAATCTAAAAATAAAAATTACCTATAGGCGGAGTAACGAAATTGTTGGGCTTATAATGTTGCGTCTTGGACTCATCCCCATTAGCCCAGTTTTGTAGCCGGTTTGGACCTGTCCAACCCTGCATTTTATTATTCTAGGGTTTTAGTATTTAAGGTGCATGCAAGCATCATTTGTTAGTAACGCTTATATTATTTTCTCATCAAAGTATTGTAAACCCTAGCTCGCCTCTACAGTGGAAGTTCTTTATCGAGCTCTGATGAGGCGTGACTACGTTTGAATCATAAGCTTCATATTGATTCTATATTGTGTTCATTGTTGTGTTTGATTGAATTGTTTGTTCTTTATTAATTTACCTGTGAAAGATCTAAACGATCAAGAGATTTATTCTCATCAATTGGTATCAGAGCAGGAGGCTGTGTAATTCATACACATCTCTTCTGTTGAAGAAGTTACTAGGGTTTTTCCGCATTGATTGATATTTATTGAGCCGTCATTCCAAATTGGCGTATCTCATTAATTGTCGATCTTGCCCTAACGATAAATTACAAGTCTGATCTTAAACAGGTTATCAATCAAACATCATCACAATGTCTATGGACGATTCGCAATCGAATCCAATCAACATCTCCAACAGTATTGGATCAACAACAAGAATTCCAATCCTATACACTCAGGATTATGAAGTCTGGACGCACCACTTTGAAGATTATGTAATCGGCTCAGAGGATAATAGGTATTTGATATGGGAAGCAATTATAGTTGGTCTGTTTGCTCACTCAAGCACTTTAAAGATTGTCAAAAGTCAAAAGGAGTACAATCAGCTCGTGAATGATGTGAAAGACATTCCGCAAGACGAGAAAGAAAAGTTTCAATGCAACATTAAAGCCTTAAGAATGATTAGGTTTACTTTACAATCGGATATGTTTCGATTGGTGATTTCATGTGCTACAGCAAAAGAGATATGGGATAGTTTAAAGGAATTATATTCCATTGATGAAGATCTGGAACATTCGATTCAAACCTTGCTGCTTTCTGAATTTGGTGATTTCAAACAGAAGCCCAAAGAGAAACTCATTCAGACCTTTGATCGGTTTAATCATCTTCTCAGTAAGATGATAAAGCACGGGATCGAAAGGAACGTTATTGAGCAGAAGGTTACCTTCATGAACGGTCTTAGATCCGAATGGATGGAAAATGTATCCGCAGTGAAGGCACACGAACAGTTCAAATCATACTCTCTGGAGAAACTGGTGGGAATTCTGAAGTCCCATGAAAGTGCGGTGTCAAAGGAAACGAATGTGGTTTCGAGATTGGGTTCGTTAGCTCTTATCTCAAAAGGAAAAAGTGTTGTTGAGGAAGAAGAAGAATTAGATTTTGTTGACTATGATCTAACTGGTGAAGAGTTTGCCCTGATGGTTTCCAATCCAAGAAATTTTATCAAAACGAAGTTCCCAACCAACAAGAACCAAAACTAGTAGGGAAGTTATAGTTCCGAAAAGGTGAAAGAGGAACCAAAGATGAGTTCAAAGTCAGAAGAATCCAAGAAGGAGACGAAGATTGGTGGTGACTCAGGTTTTGATTGCCATTATTATGGAGGCAAGAACCACTTTGCCAAAGACTGCATGCTGAAGAAGAAGACTGAAAATATTGATGAAGATGATAAGGAAGCGAACCTCCTAAGACGATTAGAGGAGATCAAGAAATGGAAATCAGCAGCTAACAATAACAACATGAATGCTTTGATTGTACAGGATACAAATAACAATAATGAATTTGGTGGAGTGCAGGTGTTCATCAAAGGAGGATGAAGTCGATGTCGAAGCTTTGATTGTACATCTCGATTGTGAAATAGGAAAGAAGATACATCGCATGATTTTACCCTTCATTGGGTTAAAGGAGGATGAAGTCGATGTCGAAGCTTACAACTGTGAAAATGTTGTATCTTCTGACGAAATCTCTCCTGCTTACAAAATTGGTCTTGACAAAATAGAGTCCTACATAGAGTCAAAAGACCATAAGCACATGATAAAAAATAAGGTTAGATGAAAATGATAAATTGAAACTAAGAACCGAAACTGTACATAAATTTGACTCGTTGAATGCCAAATTAAGTTCGGAAAATAAAATTGATGTTGAAAATGAATCTGAACTTAATGAGGATGATGACATGAGTGAAATCTCTGTAGAGGACGTAGTGGACTATTCTGAATTTGTCAAAATCGAACCTGAACCTAATAAAATTATGATTTCTGAAAACTCTGTTGAGTTTGCTCGCTCATCGACAGACAAGACCAAAGTTCTCAAGGCAAAAGTTGTTGTATATCAAAAGGTTCAAACCACTCCAAATCAAGTGTACACAGTTCAAGGAGTCACACCACAACAAATAGCCGAACTAACAACATTGGTGGAAGAAGATAATGCTAATCGTTGTGATGAATTTCTCTGGTTAGCACCTATAGATAATGTTGATGAAACAAAAGGTTTATCTCAAAAAACCTCGTGGAGAGTGAAGGGTAGATATGTGGCAGAACCACTCAATGAACCTACAAGATATGATGTACCAAGCACAAGTGGCACCAAAACATCTTCGGGCAAACCAGTGACAACGTCCAGTGAGCCGTGTTCATCAAAGAGCGAAAGCCATGGTCAAGTACTGAAGAAAAAGGTCAATATTCATAAAAATCCAAAACAAATGGCAGAACGAAAACACCAACGCAACCTGAGATACAAGAAGAATCTCTCAGAAAGAAAACAGTTTTGGCGGTCCTAGAATCCTCATTACGTAAGGTATGAAAGGACACATAAGTCACGAGGAGAACCAAGAGGCAACCGAAAGGAAGGTTTCGATCCTCGGCATGAAGAAAACCGAAAGGAGGGTTTCGGTCCTCAGCATGTAAGCAACCGAAAGAAAGGTTTTGGTCCTCAACATAATACCAGCCGAAGGGATGGGTTTAATCCCAAGTTCAATCAGAAGAACCGAAGGGTAGAATGTTTTCACTCTCAACCAAGGAAGAACAATAATCGACAATATAATATTATTTCTAAACCTTATTCTTCTCATTCCAATTCAAATTCTCAAGATTCAAAGGGGAAAGGAAAGTTCCTTCCAGCAGACGTTAGTGCCCAAAAGAGACCAAAAAGAATGCAAACGTCAAAACCACAAATCCTACGGCTAAATCAAATGAGTCTAAGTCAAACAAAATCAAAATTTTTACAATAAAAAAAAAAGACGAAACAACTCTAATAAAAAGAACTTATTTGGTTGATGTTTCTCTTACTATTGCGTGTCCTGTAAAAGGCTCACAAGGACCGAAGAAACTTTGGGTTCCTAAATCTGCTTGATATTTTTCAGGTTATTCGTGACCAGCAGTTTGACGAAGAATGGTACATTAACAGTGGCTGCTTGGATCATATGATAGGAAGAAGGAAAGAATTAAGGGAGTTTCGGTCTCTTAAGGATGGTGGAACGGTGAAATATGGAAATAATTCATTTGGTACTATCAAAGGCTATGGAATGATTACAAATGGCGATTTCTCAATCTGAAAGGTCGCATACGTTGAAGGACTGCAGGACAACCTAATAAGTGTCTCACAGTTGGTAGTTGGGACCAGATTGAAGGTCTCCTTTGATGATGAAGGCTCAGAGATCGTTGAAAAGAAGTCAAATAATATTCTGCTGAAGTCGAAGAAAAAGGGAGAAATGTACCCTTTAAATCTCAATCCTATTAGAGGGAAACCAACAGTTTGCTTGCTAACGAAGGCACACTCAGACGAAAGTTGGTTATGGCATTGAAGGCTCTCTCATCTCAATTTCAAAGATATCAACAAGCTTGTACTAGGAGATCACGTTCGAGGTTTTCCAGTTCTCAAATTTGACAAAGACCATTTATGTGCAGCTTGTGAAATGGGAAAGCAAAGTCGACAAAGTCATCCTTCTATTATCAACACAAAGGTGATAAAACCATTGGAGCTGTTACATATCGATCTATGTGGTCCCTCCTCTATTGAAAGCATTGGTGGAAAAAAGTACATTCTTGTAATCGTAGACGACTTCTCATGCTTCACGTGTGTATTTTTCTTGAAGCAAAAATCAGAGCCAACTCCCAAGCTCAAACTCTTTATAAAACAAGT